GACCAAAATTGGGTAAGTTACGCCAGTTGATCATTTTTCGAAAAAAAGTTCATTTTTTTTGCACACCACTGTATATAAAATAACAGTAGTGACTATCATTTTGATATGAACACAAGCATGAATAGCTTCGAACAATTAATTGTAAATAAATTTTTGTTTGATAATTAGTAAATCAGGCATAAAAGTTTTGATCATTTGAAGAAATGGTAAAATTTTATTCATTTGTAATATACAATAAAGTTATTTTCCTATTAAAATATCTTGATATTTATTCTTTGCTAATATTAATATATTATAAAACGAAATTGGCAAATAGATTAAATATAATGTAACAGTTTTTGATTAAACGCAATTTTTTTTATTTTTTCCGAGTAATTCAACTATTTTGAATAATTTAAACTTTATATAGTAAAGTGTTTGCCATTTAGCTTGGAGCAAAATTTTTCAAAAAAAAGAACAGTCTATATATTTCTCATCTTTAAATCTCTCAAACGTCAAGCCTCGGAACTTTAAGCATATCACCATCTCAACCACACCATATGACGATTAGCCTCTCCCATAATCTCATTTTCACTTTTCGGACCAGGAGGTTTATCCTTTAACCTGGCTCTCGTAATGGCTCGCAGTGCGACTTCTGCTTATGCAATACCTTATTCGTCTGTTTTATCACTCGGGATAAAACAACTTATTTCGATAACCCATTACGATTACGGAACGTTCCGTTTTTCTCCTCCCACTTTCAAGCAATTCATCCTAAGTTTGGTTCCCCATCCATAAGTTTCATAAATTCAAAGGTTTTTCATCTCCCTAGTAAGACTCAGAGGACTGACTCGCGATTCTAAATCGTATGACCTTATGGTAACTTCAATCTCGGTAGATTGGGCTCTACCTAGGATTTTACCTGGCTCCCATCCCATAAAATCATAAACGAACAGCATCTCTTCCTTCCTCTTCCTTTACTTCCCTTACTTCCGAGTTAGCATCACAAAGATATATAGTGGTGGCAGTAGACCTTTAGGAGTCTAAGATTCCATGAGATTACAAGATTGCCATCCTATCATTACTGAAACTACTCCCCCTACCAGCCCCAAGGGATAAATGATTCATAGATGTTATCATTTACGGCCGGGCATTCCTTACCATTTCGCCTATTCATTCCAGTCTGAAGTGGTATTCCGATGACTTAGCTAAGGACGTGCCTACTCCATCCTCGATTACTCCGACGCCAATCATTCATAAAAGTTCAAAGTCCACACGTACGATAACTTTTATTTCAGAAGCCAGTAGAACTGACAGCGGATTCTCTTACATCATTGGTTGCTAATAACTTGGCATTACTTTCGTACCTCTTTGTCCATAGTTATTTGATTCACCTTCATTCAAGCGAACCAGTCTATGAGGGCTTACCGACATCCAGGTACTTCTCCGTTCTAGAATCCCTAGAACTTCAAATAACTGCCACTCCTATTCATTAGAGTACACCCCAACGTCAAATCGTCAGAGCCTCTGATCACCTGCTGGTAAATAGTCAGTGGGAGCTGCTAACGAACCTCCAAGTGTCGAAGGTTGAAATTTAAAACGAGTTGATGTAGAACACCTGAACAAGCGCAGGTACACCGGTAGCTTTAACCCTCATTCCAAACCTCAGCATTTACCTATGAACGAGCTACTATTCACATGTTACATATAAAAGCATCGGCAACTTCAATATCACATTCCGCCGGCTAATCGAAGGAGGATTCTCACACAGTAAACAAACCGTGATACCCTTTCGGGCGTCTATTGACTATATCTTAAGCAACCGAATTGGATCATTATCCAACACAGATTCCAGAGCTTATTCTCGAAGTTTAAGTTGCTTCTGCTCGGTCACCCATCGCCATTTAGTCGATGAACTGCACGTACGGGTTGCTTCAAAGAAACAGTGAGCCCAGAACGCTTGGCTGCCGATTGTCCATTCTCTCTTTCGAGATCCTTAATTAGATAGATCACATAGAAATTACATTTCTACCTGTTCGGAGTTGGCTCTTAACCATCCATTCGGACCTTCCGATCTATCCGTCTTCCAGTAACTAAGGTCCAGGAAGGAATTCAGAATTAATCTTCATTCCACCTAAGATCCTAAGGGGTTATTACCATCCGATAGCCTTTCGACCATCTGCTGCAAGACCGTTTTCACGCTCTCCGCGGTACCCAAAGGCTTTAGGAGTTTCCGGCAATTTGACGATGTGGCCGTATATGGGGTATACCAATTTTTCCATTTCGCAATAGGTTAAGGCCCTTCCACTCAAGGACGAATCACTCATCAACCGTTGAAAGCTACCGTAGCGTTTATTTAAACGAACCTACGTTGAGCTTCCTATGCGGGCAATTATATAGATATGTTCCATACCGACTAGCAATTCACTATTCAACCGTTTCCTAAATCCAAATAGTTTAATACAAGTTTACATCTCTTCCATTTAGGCAAAAGCTTCCTAGTATCCATGCGCGCTACAACACAAAATGGTGGTCCATTACAGACTTGGCAAAATGCAAGTTGAAGATAAACTAAGTGTCCCTTAGGAGCGTGTAGGTTCAACGGTGGACTTACTTTAAAAAGAAAAATGTTACCATTTATCTTCCTTTACATTCCACAACTGACGCCTCCTACCAAATGTCGTGACTGCTTTTGTACTCCCAAAAGACGGATCCTACCCATCTTTGAAAGAAATATTGCTGCAATAATATAATAAATCCTACTTGTACATTTTCTAACATCTCCTTCCTAAATTTACTTAATTGGAATTAAGATGCATGTTATTATATCAAATCGAAAGTTGGTGAATATCCTCATGTACCAATTTTACAACGAACTTTTGCTGTTTCTAATTATGCTCTTCAAATTATTCTAAAGTAAATGCAATGAGATTTTTAATTTTTAATCCCTCCCATGTTTAGTTATATTTCAACTTCCAACAATAGAAATTTCGAACAGAAAATTGAGCAACTAAATTAAATCTGGAAAAGTCTTGGACAGAACAATAATTGTCAAAGCTTTTGTAATCCGCCTGGCGGAAATAAAGTTCGACCCATTTAATAAAGGAATTTTGTATTGAATAGTTTAGTTCAAGTTACTAGGAAAATTTGATTCATGAAGATCTCTTGTGTTACAACCAACGTTTCTCTTCATGTTATCCTCTTCAAAATTTATCAAAGCTTCATTTGGAATAAATTTTCGTCAAAGTTTCGTGAAGTAATAGGTTTCTTCAATTAAAAGAAATTGACGAAGGTGTAAAGGTATCTATGTGTAAAATTTTGTTAAGCTAATAAAATAGACTTTAATTTGCTCAAAAAAAAAAAAAACGGAAGATTTTTTTTTTTTTAAAAAAGAAAAATTAGTTGTATATTTAAGTTTAAGAGGAGGGACGATCTTTGTTTGTGGCTCAATGATAACAAAACTGATTATGTTTTAGTTTTTTCTTTGAAGAATTTCTTTTTTTATTACGCCTTTGTTGGTTATTCCTAAAATGACCTTTAATGTAATGTAGCAAATGATAATCAAATTGTCACAATCTATTGATTAGTTTTGTTGTGTTCACCAAATTAAACAAAACGATCAATGAAGAATATAAACGTGTAAATTCTATTTCGTTGGAACTAGTTAATTATTTAACAATTTGGTACTCATGACCTTTTGTTTATTTTTTTTTAGTCATTATTTATAAATTCTGTATTTTTTTTTTATCTATTTTATTTACAACAAAATCGACTAGTAATTTATGTATCAATTTCCTTCCTTGGTCTAAACCATTTTAAAAAATTTTTTTTTACTTAATTAAATCTTTTAAAAATATATTGCGCGTGCTTTATCAACTTAAATTTTTTTTCTTCCCCTGTATATTTTATTCACTTTATTTCATTGTTCATTAAGTTTCCACTCTAATCTTGAAAGTAATACTTTATGTTTAATTTGTGCCATTAACTTATTTCTAGGATGATTAAATTCGCAAGTTTATCTATGAACCAGTGTTCGGCAAATGACTTGAAATACAAAGGATTAGGAATAATGACAAATGATTGAGCAAATCATTTTAATGGTCAAATGACCAGGTCATTTCCGTACACCGCCAATCTCAAAGAAAATTTATATAATTGCAAATGTTAAAATACGTCAGAGTACAACCACATTTTTTTCAGGACATTCTTGATAATAAATTTTTTTTTTTTTACTACCATTACTAATCAGCTAAGATCGATCGATTAAATCTTCAAAAAATGCCAAGGTTCTAAAAGATTGCATTTTTATTTTGTTAATACCCATCATTCCTGCCTCATAAATTTTAAATAAAATATATATTTTGGTTCTTAAAAATAAAATGCCTAAACTTTTTTATATTACGAAAAGGTGTCCGGAATTTAACAGGAAAATGTACTGAAATAATAATGTACAAATTCCGAACATTTCCATTGTCCGGAATATGTTCCAAATCTTGGTGGTTTCCGGACATTCATATTGTCCGGAAAATGTCATTGTCCGGAATTTCAATGTTTGAATGCAATATTGGACATTTTCCGAACATTTTTTGGATAATTTCCGGACCTAAACCTGTTTTCCGGACATTTTCCAGACATAATTATGTTTTTCCGAACGTATTCCATTTTTCTGAACGTTTTTAGACATTTTTACTATTCATAATATCAAATTTATAACTTAATAATTTATTAAT